CCGCCGCCGGGCACGGCCCCCCCGCCGGCCGGGCCCCTCGCGCTGCGGGCGGCCGCCGGGCTGCGCAGCCCCAGGGAACGGAGGCGCTTGCGGGGTTTATTTCGCGGGGGTTTATTTCGGCGTTAGCGATTCTCGTCAGCTAGAGCACACAGTGACAGCGGGCAGCAGGGCGTTGCTGCTTGAAGGGCACGGCCTTTCGGTCAGGAGCTTACAGGCTAAGTCTGCTTCTTGCGTGTCAGCTGCGCGGCCGGGAACAAAGCGGGTTTTCATTATAGCTCCCAGTTGTTTCTCACGGGTTAGTCCTGTTGATCATTAGTGGTTGGCTTCTCCTCCTTCTTGCATTTAACCCCAAGGAAACTGAAAAGCTTCATTAGCATTAGATCAACAATCTCCTCTTCTTCAGAAGCCTGGAGGAATTACAGCAGAAATAAGTTACTAGGTCATGTGGACCAGAAACAGTCTCTGCTCAAGCCAGAGGAAGTTGCAAGAGAAAATCTGCTCTTGGCACCAAGTGTCTCTCAGGCAGAGTGTGAATATCTGCCCAGGCAGGACATCACAATGATGTTTTTATCAGACAGAAGTGCCCAATAGTCTGTAGGTGAGTGCATATGAAACGGAAGAAATTTTACTCTGTCAGAGCCTGTAGGAATCCTGCCACCGAAGCCTGGAGCGCACGGGCCAACCCTCCATATGCCTGGTGGTGACACTGAGCTGCGTTTCATACCACTCTATCAATAGCTTGAATGGGTCAGACGCTTAAAGTGATGTTTTTAAAAAAAGCTGTATTGTCCTGATGAAGGCACTTGGAGTTTTGGCATGGCTCTGAGTTGGATGAGGCTTGGACACAACCCAAGGTTTGGTTTTGTTTTCTTGGATTTAGTATGTGAACGTAAAACACTACAAGTAAGTTTTGGTACTAACTCTGAACAGAGTCATCTGATGGGGATGGGCAGTGTGAGTCGTCAGTGTCTGAAGTGTGCTTTATGCCGAATTGTTGACTTCTCAAGGGCAGGACAGGGTGTACATGTGTTTCACCAGATGGGGAAACAGGTAAGCCATCATTAAGCATGCACCAGAGGGTTAAAGACCAGCAGGAGAGCCTGGGTGAACCCACCTGGTAATGCTTCTGCTCCTCACTGAAAGCAACCAGGATCACCGAAATGAACAAATTCAGCACCACAAATGTCATGAAAATGATGCAGGAGCCAATTAAGAAGGAGCCTAGAATTGGATTGCAGTCCAAGACCTGCAGTATTAATAAAGCAAGGCATCATATTTTGGTTATGACAAAAGGATATACATAGAAGCAGTTTAACACTCGAAAAAGAAGTTTGTCAGTTTGAAAATCCTTGTGGCTAATAGATTATTTTATATACATTTTATATAAATATACAGAGTCATATTTTTCTCCTTTAGTCATTTTCTTACTGTGATACACTATAGGATAAGGGATAGATTTTTTTTTTCTGGTCTGTAAATATGGACAATCTTTTTTTTTCGTGTTGTCATGTCAATGTAAAAGTGTGAGGGTTTCATGTGAAAGTTGGCAAGCCTGGAGATCTGTTTATCCACAGGACAAAGAGCCCGAGCTATCAGAGTTTAGATGAAATCTCCATATGCATTGACCTAGTTCATTATGAGTACATTCCTGTTCGGAATGGGACATGAGCTATATTTCATCTAAAGTCCTTTTCTTTTCTTGATGAGAAAGACTGTCTGCTTTAAAAGGCTTGAGAATTTGCAGAATTGAAAGTTTTTTATTTGCCAGCATTATTAGCATCTGAGGTGCTAAGGGTACAAGTAATGAACTTTTCCAGGTTACAGATGGTACCTCCTCATAGTTGAAGATCCCCAGCTGAAGACTGACCATTGTCTCTGCCGAATCAAAGAGAGTTTTGTAGGAGTAGAGCTTCCAGCCAAATATCAGGTTTGTCTGCAGGGGAAGAAGACATACCCAGGGCCATAACCAGAGCACTTGCTGCAAACGCAGTCAGTGTCTGCTGTACTTGGAGAAAGCTCTCCTTGTTTATCACTGGAGCCCTGTGAAGGGTTTTTGGTTTGGCTTGGTTTGGGGGTACAAGCAGGGAAAACACCTGATAAGGTCATAAAAGAGGCTACTGTTGCACATTCTAAATTTCAGTTTGCAAATAAGTGGATGTTTTAGCTTGTCTTTCACTTACACTGAAGAATCACAAGTTCACACAGCACATGAAGCTGCTAACCTAGAATTTTGCATTTCAAACCTGCATTGCTTTCCCCACTCAGGAACAAATCATTCAATCTGCAAGTACCAGGGTGCAGACAACAGAAAGCACAGTGATACTCACGGCAATGGAATAGGCAAGGAACATGATTGCAATAACAGTGATGAACCCAGAGATATCGCCCCAGGCCCTCCGTAGGGTTGAAGTGATCATGTTTAGTTTGGGGTTGAGCCTCAGCAGATGCCACAGTTTTACTGTGGACAGAAGTACTAGGAAAGCAATCAGGTAACCCAGAACTGCATCAGCTCTTGCTGTTTCGTTAAAGCTTACAGAGCTGTTAGGAAGAAAAAAGATTTATTAAACAATGCACACAGATGCCTTTGAACTGCATGAACAAGTACACAGGAAAAGCCAGTCACTCTGGACTTGGTTTCAGTGTAGGGCTGACTTGAGCTCTTGTCTGAAAGTTCCTTTCCGCGCTCCCCGCAGCGTGCACACAAAAGGGCAGCAGGATGTGGCAGTTTTACATCAGCATTAGCCAGAGCAGAGAGAGGGTCAAGGGTATAACTCAAATGCTGCTGATTTTCAGTTAGTCTTTTTTTTTTTTTTTTTTTCTTCCCTCTAATGACAGAGGTGACCTCAAAAAGCTCTGTGCTTGGACATGCTTAAAACACAACCAAACAAGGCCCCAACCAGCCTGATCTAACACCAGAGCAAAGGATTGTACCAGAGGCCTGAAAAGCTCTCTTCCTACCTACATTATCTCTGATTCTTTCATCTCTTTCTTGTTTGACCATATTTTTTAAACAGACGTAATTTCTCTTCTGTATAAAGCGAGGTGCTGCATTAGTAGCGCTAACGGGGGCCGGGCTAGCTGGTAGTAGCACTTACTCGTCTTTGTGCTCCTGGTAGTAGCTGATGTCTCGGCTCCCTAGGATCGTCCGCTTCACAAACACGGACAGGGCGCTCCAGCTGGTCACTATAATGGCCAGCTCCAGGAGATTCCACTTGCTCTGGAAATATCTCCATTTCAGAGTCTTCATAAGTTTCACCTGTGAAAACAGTTTCACTGTTTCAGCCTCCAATTCTGTATTATAAAATACACCTCTAAGGATCAAGGCTGTCCCTTCTGCAGTGAAACAAACTACTGCACATCCAGGTAACTGCATCTTGCACCAATTTATATTTTTTCTTTTTTTTTTCCTCAAAAGAAGCATTCCTGCCAAGTAAAATGTTGCCTTCTTATGCTTTAATAAAGACACAGTGTCTGATTCAGATTTTCCATTGGGACAAGTCAGCAGCAACGCTACTAAAGTCAAGTATATGCCTGAAAAATGTTTTTTATATTACCCGCTGTAAACTGATTTGTAAATGAGATCAGAACCAGAAGCAATGTGATACTTGGCACCAGAGGTTCCCATTGGATCTCACCTGTATTACCATGTAGTAGAGAATAAAGAAGAAATAAATCACTTCTGCTGCAATGACAAAGATGTGGAGACTACTGGTGTATGGGTAAAGCCGGATACTTTGCAGCTCTGCACTTGTGAAGAAGGCCCCTAAAAAATAACAGTATTTACCTCAGCATTCTGATAGTTACATCTTTCTGTTTTCATTCAAATGAAAAAGAAATTGTTGTCTTTGCTTTTTGGTCTTTATACTGCATTGATTAACTGAGCTAATTAGGAACCACTTTTTCCAGTTCTTGTCACGTACATTTTAGAGATGAAGTTTCAGTACTCTTCTTTCCTCAGCAACAAATAGCTACAGCATGAGCAAACATGAGCCTTTATGGTCTATATGTCACTCCATAAGTATTATATTTAGATCAACTTCTGATTGATTTTTATATATTTTTTTATTTATTCTGCCATTGTTAGCGTTATTAACACACTTCTGTTTACTGAATCAGGAACTCGGGAAGCACTGACAATGTGTAGCTATGCAATGTGTAGCTGCGTTGCTTGCTGTCTTCTGAAATGTGCAAGTTCCAGAAGGCTCTCACCTAGAGCATTTGTTTCAAACATCAGAGTTACGATGCAGAAAAGATTCACGTTGGCGTTGTAGACTGTAAATTCCACGAACACTGCTCTTGTAAAGGTGTCTAGCCAGACATTGGTGAAAAGGTACTGGAGAATTCTGCCAAAAAACATATAGCTGGTCATAAGCAAAAATAAACTGATGATAAGAACATAAATTAAGTTGAAGCCATCACAATAATATCTACAATACCCAGTAGCAAAACTCAGGATGCTGCCTGAAATGAATCCTAAATAAGGTAGAGGAAAGAGCAGCATCCCGCCTACAACAGTTTCACTAATAATTTCCTTGAGTGCACATGGTACCTGGAGGCATTGTGAGGATCTGTTCCCAGGTGAATCACGTATCCTCCTCCCCGGTACACGGCGAATTTGCCCCAGATTGGGTGCCCTCTTAGTTGGGCCTGACTCTGGTACTGCCACGCTGAGCTCAAATCGGAGGAGTTATCAAAGGCTGAAGCGTTCCAGTGTTCCCCGTAGCCTGAGGTGTCTTCGCTGTGGAAGGTGTACGGGGCACGGCATTCCCGAATCGCCCGCTGGAGCTGGGCAGCAACGGGGCACGTGTCTCCTTTCACTCTTACTTGTCGAATTCGGGCACTACCCACTAGCTTGGAATTGCCATCTGTAATGAATCCTGAACAGGAGATGGAGAAAGAGCAATACTGGCAGTATGACAGAACTACTACTAATATTTTTTGTATCATTTACTGTTTTGGCAGAGCTTCTGTTAAAATAAATAAAAAAAAAATCCACAATACTTTCAGTAAAAAATTTGTGAAAATAAAGCCCCAATTTGAACCGAGTTCTCAGATAACACCTGTAGTTCCATCTGCAGAGTTCAGTATAATTGTCAATCCGTACTTTATAGAGAAGGAAACAGAGACCTGCAGGAGAATATTTACCTGCCTAGTGTCACCCAGCAGAACAGCTGGGTGCAGCCTGCATTTGCCTGGCTCCACAGCAGGCCCGTGCCTACCTGCTGATGCCTTTTAACATTTGCTCTAAAAGGGGAGCTGGAAAGTGGGCTGTACTGAGTACTGGCCAGAGAGAAACACTGCGACGTTATGAAGTTTGCCCACACTGACCTAAGCCGTGACATAAACAGCTCTCCTGAAGAAAAGCTTTAGAGTGCCATCTACCTACCATTCTTTTTTTTAATGCAACAAGAAGCTCCTGTGAGCTAGGAGGCACATACCTTAATACCTGCAATGAGTAAAATGTAAAAAAAAGTAAAATTACAACACCAGACTTGGATTATATCAAAGATAAATAAAATATCAGGTTAAATTAAACCTGGTCAGGCTAGTGGCATCAGAAATTAATTTGGTTATTATGTTTCAGCGCACAAAGTATTGCAGCCATTCAACTATGCACATAATGGTTACATAATGTAGAACTGTACATTGATTTTTGTTGTCTACTAAGATTAATAAATCTGCCTTAGCCTTATGCATTCATAATCCCCTCCTCCAATGTAAAATGCATGTTGAAGTTAGAGGTTTCAGCTGAAGCTCAGACTACTTTTGATAGGAACATGGTCTCTGCACCTTTGTATGATCCATAAAGATTTTTCACTAAGGTAGTATTTGCCCATGTGAAAAAATCCTGGTAACTATAAATATCCTGGAATCCATCTGTAAAGCTGTTCTCAATGTGCTTGTTTAAGTAGTAGGAATTGGGATCTCTCTGTCCATAGGCAACCAAGAGCAGCATCCATAAAAATCCCAGATATGCTGGAAAAGACAAGAAGAGACAGCACATGTGAGCCCAGAATTAGTAACTGCTACTAGTTAAAGAGCTGCCTTGTAAGACTCTAACCACTGCTGATGAATCTACACAAGCTGCTTGAAAGTGCTGAAGTTGATCACATTTGGAATAGGAGCAGCGATCAAGAAAATAAGCAGGAAGACTGACTGAACACCACCAACAAGGGAACCTCTGAATGGGACTAGTAGTCTCACTTTGTTTCAGGTGTTTAAGTTTTCAAGTTTTTTTTCCACCACTTTTAGAGGTGGCATCTGTAGAAAGTTTTTGCTTTTAGAAAGGTGCCCTCCAATTGCTGCTTTGATTCCAACTTCTTTTATCACTAACCTCCTCCTTTTGCACATTCTTATTTTTCTTTCATCCCTCACATTTTTGTAGTGCATTTTCTTACTATAAAACACAGCTTTAGCTGCACTTTTATTTCCAGTCATCTCAAATTGCACTGAGCCCACCTGTCTAGCAGAAAGCTAAAGATTCACTCCTCTTTTTTTTTTTTAAAAAAAAACAGAGAACATTTTTATTGCTGCAAAATATCGATATGAATAAAACCAGAAGATAAACTATTGATGGGTAAATACCTAGGATTTCTCTGATGAGGGCAAATGCCTTTTGCTCCTTCATGCAATTGACTTTCATTTTCTCAACATCTGATGCAGGAGGTGGCTGGTAGATGTTGCTTCTGCTGTCCCGTCTGACTCCAAAGAGAGGATTTGAATCACCTATGAGTTGGAACAGGAAAACTTAGAGTCATTCAGGAGATCCACTACGTCTTGCTTTTCACTTATTTTGACACTGGGAGGAAACTTTAATACTTTCTCTTATAAACACAGCGGATGTGACTTAAAGCCATCAGTAGGGTAAGGTAACAATGGTGAGGGGAGCAGCTCAGCAACACAGCATGGCAGGCTCTGGCTCTAGCCTGGGTATCCCTCTCTTCTTGTTGCCCAGAAAAGATGGGTAACAGGAAGAAAGGAAAGACAGCTCAAAAAATGATATACTAAGGGTTTGAGACTGATTAGGGAGAAAATCTTTCTCCTTTATCTTTTTGATCTTGGAGTTGTTCTCATTAAGTATTCTGCCAAATTTATAAATTTATTCTACCTAGACATATAGTGGTCATTTCTCTCTTCATCGCAATAAGATTCCTATATACAAAGATAACTAGTGAATTCCTGAGTTGACCTGTAGGCCATGTAGTTGTGCATAAAACACTCCAAAATATTGAAGAATCCTTCAGTATCATTAATCATTTCACACACCTGGAGCAGATAAAGACCCATCAATGGCAGTGCTTTCTTCATCCTCCTGCTCCACCTTCTTCAGAACCAGAGCAAAAAAGGCAGCAAATCCCAGCACCTGGAAAGAATTAGCTTTTGACTCACTGCATACCTGTTCCACATAAAGAACCTCATTCTCTGGTCTGGATCCCTTTGAATCCAGGTACCAGACCAGGCAGAAGTATCATGTTTTGTGTTGCACTTCTGTTGCCCAGGCATGTGAACAAGACAACCGCGCACAGGGTCCAACTCACTGAATACTTTTTGCCATTTGCCCTGGTCAGAAACTTTATCATCTATCAAACATCTGGCAAAAGAAGGGGAGATGGAATTAAAAGAATACAAGCAGAAGACAGTACCACACTGTCACCTAGCTACTAGCCCTTGTTTTAAGGGCAAAAAGGACCTCACCTTTAAGGGCTGTGTGATGAAAAGACTTTCAAAGAAGGAAATGGCCATGGAGATGAGCCACTTGATGGAGTTTTCCTTGCCGTAATGCAGCCCATAGAGCATAGTAAAGAACCCAGACACACCACTGGTGGCTGCAACAAGGAACCATCCAATAAACACAAACCACCAGGGCAGCCCCTTGGAAGAAGGGCCTTTCTTGCCATCCCTGGAGAAACTTGGAGTAAGGGACCACCTGGAGAGTCAATGAGAAGATTAAAAAGAATCAGTTCTGCAGTGGAATAGAAGCCAACGAACAAAACACAGACTTCAGGTGTAGTATGCAACATAGGCAACAATTTAAGATCTCAAAGAATTTTTTTTTTAACTAATGCAGTTGTGTATATCGATAGCAAAAGATACAGAGAGTAAAAATACTGAAAAATCTATGGACAAGAGCTAAAATGAAAACAAGTATGATGGGTGTACTACGTCCTCAATTCATGCATAATTGAACTTTGAGTTGAAATGCTGACAAAATTAAACACGTGTGTGTATTGTAGCTGCTGGATATATCCCTTGTGATCACCGTAAAGACCAGAGACATAATTGTTGTTGTTTTCAATATTTCTGACTTAATGATCACACTTTTTTTCTGAGATATTTTTGTCTATTCACTAATTTTTCTTTATCCGTATGTTTTTAGAGACCTCCTGAGACTTTGGATCTCAGTGATTATCTTGAGTGTTTTGTTATAATGCGATGCTGAACTGTAACATTCACTTTGGAGGCAAAAATGACACAGAGGAATGACCTGTCTTTATTGCTTTTGTGTGCAGTACCCAATGCACTGGAATTCCTTTTTGCTCCTACTATAATATAATAACAAGACATGTTTCTACGACTATAGTAATGCTTACTCAGCAAGTGTTACCCCGTAATTACTTTGGGCTCCATCATCCTGGCCAATTTGGAGTTCATGACCTGAATTTGTTTTACTGAAAATTGGATGAGAACTAGGTTACCTCTCGCTGCTGGCTGCTGCTGAGCAGATCCGGCTCTCCAGGAGGTTCTTCATGTGCTGAACCTGCCGAACGGCTTGTGTGTAACTCTGAGGCATCTGAAACGCGTGGGGCCCCACTAGTTCCAGCTCCATCTCTACGTGCTGGAGCTGCATGTACAAGCAGCGGTTGTAGTCACTGTATTTCAGCTGCTCATACATTCCCTTCTCTGGAGTTGGGCTTGTTTTTTCTGCAAGTAAAGAGAAAAAAAATCAGCATAGCCACCCATAGATTAAAGTCGTATTCGGTACAAAAGGCAACTGAGTTGGAGCCCAAGACTATCAATGTGACAATGCACAGTAACATTTGAAGGGACATATAAACCCAACTTCAGTTATGGAGCTTTAATGCTCTTCTGCGGGGAAGGCAGGACATACCAGGAGGGAATTTGGTAACGCAGAGGTCTTAATAGAAAAGTCAGATGATACTGAGTCCTACTTCATTTTTTGTCTATCTGTGAGACTTGTAGACTCACTGGAAAAGCCAAATTCAAGTCTTAATGAAACCAGTGGGATTGTTCACTCGTCTGTTATTGTTTAATTGAAAGTAAATCAATGCTTTAGTTTAGAATCAGACTGAAAAGATCAACAACACATAGTTAGCAAGAGAAGAACAGAGGACAAAATGATGTAAAGCAGCTCATATCAGAGAGCCTTGATGCTTTTAGATGCTGATCCTGCTCCCAAGCCAGGCTGGTACCTAACTTTTCATTCTAGAGCATAGGAAATAGATTTAATGTTGTCTTCATTTAAGTGCCTTTGAGACAGAATATAAGAAGAGTTTAGGTCATCACATCCTATGGTCATCACCATTTTCACTACACAGGTTTTAGCAGGACTGTCGCATTGTTTTGCATTACCTTGCATATCCACAGCACCTATTGTGAGAATTATAGGGTCATCCTTCTTTTTACTGTCATCATAAAACTCGTGCCCAGCTCTGTTCTGCTGGCAGATGATGTCCTCAACCAGTGCCAAAAGTGTGTTGATATTAGTTGATTTTCCAAGGTCTGATATGGAGGTGAGTGATGGAGTCTTCAGGGCTTTAAACAATGAGTTGGCAATTCTCCTTATGTCCTAGAAAAGACATTAGCAACACGACAGTGAGTCTGCCTGCAGCGTGTGAACCTGATGTGATCTGAAAGTATCACTGTTTCGGAGCGTACAGGTCGCTGACACCTCCAGGGTGAGCCTGGATGTGACAGGCTGATTCTGAGGAGCTCAGCAGAACAGCTTTCAGGATGCAAAAATATAGTTTACCTTACTGATGACCTAGGCCGAGGAAGACTTTGGTATATTTTATCTGCACTATCTTGCTCACTCTTTGCTTGTAACCACTGAGCACAGTGATTTTGGTCCCGCATAGTCATGCAAGGACCTGAGAAGTGCACAGGCAGATCTTGCTGAAGTCAGAGCTCCCCTGAAGGCAGAACATGCCCTGGAGGTGGATGCCGCTGGCCAGGTCCTCCCTCCCTGACCATGTAGATGCCTTACCTGGTGCTTTGCCCCAGTCCATGCTTGGCCTCTAATTGCGGGCAACCTGAAGGGCATCTCACAGGGAAGATTTCTGCTCTTGAGTGGTGTGTGGCGGCAGAGGGCAGTGCGGAGCGTGCCGGGGAGCAGCCCCAGGGACTTGCCTTTGTCACTGCCTCTGGAGTAAGGGAGACAGCCTGGGTGAGGGCGCCTGTGGGAGGCAGGCTGGGCGACACGCGCCCGCTCTTCCCTGGCTTCTTCTCCCTCCCCTGCGTGGCTGGCCGGGATCGGATGTTCCTGAAGATCTGCACAATGAGCAGGTTGATGGGGAACATGAGGAGGGAGCTCTCGAAGCCAATCATCACCTCCTGCCACGTGAACTCGATCTTGCCTGTCAGGATCAAAGAGAGGAGGAGTGAGAATAACCCCAGGAACCATCAGATCTCTCTCTTAAGAAAAATCCCATTTGTTCAACTGTCCTGCTTCTATATTCTGCTCTCTATTTCCCTGTCCAAGCCAGGATTAGGATTATTACCCAAGTCCATTTTCTGCTCTGCGGGATCCTTTGGCACTCCCCAGAACATGATGCTCGTCAGCATGGTGCAGAGCAGCAGTGAGAAGCAGCATGACACGCGCTGGGCTCGTGTGAAGGAGCTTCGTGGGGAGCGGCTGAAAACCGAGTACCAGATGTGTCCGTCTTGGAAGCCCTTGGAGGTCTTCATGAAAAACAGATTGCTGGGAAGGAGGAGGTGGAAGTCAGGAGGGTGCTTAGACAATAGAAGGAGTGGGGTTTGGGATGCTGATCTCTTGGTGCCTCTAGGCAGTATCAAAAGAAATAATAACTGAGAAATTACTAAATCTCATGGCTTGTTTGGCATTGAATAGTCATATCTACCTATGTCCTTTCCTTTTGGCAACACCATGGAGGAAAAGCTAAACACAACCATTTTCTGTATGTTTTTTCGGGGACATTAAATATAAGAGAAGATAAGGTTGAGTTTTTGTAGATCTTGTTAGACTATTCCTTTTTAAAGCCAGCATTTCCACTATGCTATTGCCATTAAGGTAACAATCCTTGTCCAGAGTTCTTTGAAATCAATCAATGGCCTCCTTATTCTCATTTTGACCTAGCGGTTTCACATTTTTCACCCTTGCTTTTCAGGCTGATCATGCCCAAGAGCTAAAAGGTCTATTAAACAGGAGTATTTACCTAAACTGCTTCATGTCCTGTTCTGTAGCTACTGGGAACACTTTATCGAGGACACACTCTCCAATATCAATGGCTAGCCAAGAGTTACAGAGGAAGTACCATTTCTGGTCCCATGCCAGGTCATGGACCAATACACGATTCACATACCTGCAGGAAAAACATTCAGCAGTTTAGATTATGGTTTGTCCTATTCATCCATTAAAAAAAAATAAAAAGGAAGAAAATGACACTTCCTTCCTTTCCAGAATTGTGAAAAGGATAATTGTTATGCAATAGAAAAGGAAAAGTGTTATCATTATTAAAAAAAAAAAAAAAAAGTGGATCTTTAGTATTTTCCAGCATGCACTTACCAGGATGGACTGTACCCTGAATTATCATGCCACAGTCTAATACTCTGCAGTTCCCCAAGAGGGAAGAGAGTGCAGAGCAGGAAAACATCCACCCCGCCCCGCTCGAAGACTGGAGTGTCGGGGTCGGTTAGATGGTGTGGCTCGCTCTCTCCCTCCAGGCCGTAGAGGGTGAGAGTCACCTGGAGAGCAGAAGGACAGGCTGAAGAGCTGCACATCTTGAATTCTGTGTCATTATTCCTCTGACATACTGTGGCTTCTTCAAATTTAAGGACTTTCTGACTTAGAAGCTGCATTTGAGCCATCCTGTCTACAAGTCCCTGGTGCTTTGTTATTCATGAGGTTCTATGCATGCATACATTGCATGCATACACTGCATACACAATTGCATTAGTGCACAGTTCCTGCAGTACCTTGGAGGTTGTGGCTGCCCCTCGGCGGTGTCCTGTAAACACTGTCACGAGATAACGATACTGAGCAAAGGGGTGGTTGTCTTCCAGTACTGTGATTTTCACCTGCAGGGTGACATAACACGAGCGCTGTGTTAGTAGTTCTGCATTAGGGCTGCCGTGGTGCTGTGGATAGGAATGGGTCATCTTGCAAACAGTGCGTATATATGTACCAGGAAACATAGAGTAAAAGGGAAGGGAGTAGGGTTGGCTGAAGACTTCCTATCAAAACACTTTTAGAATGGTTAATGACATTTGGCATTTGGCACAAAAAAAAAAAAAATAAAAAAAATAAAAAAAAATAAAAAAAGGCAAAACCACTGTGTCTCCCAGGAGTCCCAGAAGACTTTTTTTTAAAGTAAAAAATAAAAAAAAACCTTCAAATCTTTTTTTTCCTAGAGAAAATGTAAATAAAAATAAAATCATGCTTTTTGCTTCTGTTAAATTTTTCCACAGGAGAAAAACTATTTTAAGTTATGCCTAGAAATAGGGTTAGGCAGAAAGATGCAGAAATGAGCAGTGTGAGAACTCTGAATGTCAAACCAATTTGATTTTATTATAGTCCCATTTTCAAAGCTTATCAAGTAACTCCCTGATAGCTGAAGATTTATGAGTATTCTAAGGAATGTGCTGAAATGACCCCTGGAACATCCACACTAGTTATCGCATCACTTTTCATGTAGAGGCTTCAGCTTACAGAAAGATGGGCTGCTGGGTCCTGAACGCTTGGAATGACATGTTCTCCACGGAGAAGGCCAAGCAAAGCAGGATTTGACCTAAATACATTCAGTCTTTATCTGAAGACTTACTTTGGCATCATCCTGGATGTCTTTCCTTCGAGCCCAAATAAGCACAAGCACATACACCAGAAAGATACAGCCTACAGTTGTCACCACCACGGGGTTGTCCACGAATGTACCAAATAGCTCTACAGTTTTGCTAACATCAATGGCATTGGGTATGACGAAGAAGGAGCTCCCAAAGAAGGTCAGGTGGTTGCAGAGGCACTGTGTGCTTCTAGGATTAGTTTTGGGTCCTACCTGAAAACCAGAAAAGTTTCCTGATAAAACATTGTGGACATTTGGCTTCAAAGTATTAGATAACTTACTGAGGAAACTAAAGAGACTGAGGAATTAAGATTGATCAGTTAGTGGGGAAAAGAGCTCAAGTTCCAACAGGTAATATTAATTCTAATATCGGGTCAGAAATAGGCAGTATTATACATGTCAGAATGGTTCTTCTTATCTACTTCTTCTTATATTGAAGCACATTCCAAGAAAGTAGTAGAAATGTCATTTTACATTGGACTTTTTTACTTTTTGAATATTTTACATCTTGAATTTTTAAAAACATCTCAAAATGAACTTATTTTATGGTGTAATTTCAAAACCATTGTTTTCCTACCATGCTGTGGTCATAAGGGATTGTTTTGAAATGTATAATATAATGTTTTCTTTCTCTCTACTTACATGACATCCATAGCTATTCCATTTCCCCTGGTGCTCATCCCAAAATACGCAGCGGGATGCAAAGCAAGTGACAGCTATGGTTAGCCTGTCATTGACTGTAGAATCCATTCCCATATCTTGTAAAACCAGGAAATAATAAGTTCCCTCGCCAAAAAAGAGGTTTTCTGGACTAAGAACCCAGGTGTTTTCCTCACCTGGAACATAAATATTTTACCTTAAATGTATATAAGGAAATGTTAAGCTGGAAGTATATGGCTCTATTGCGTATAATCAAGTAAAAGAACAGAACAAAAGGAAACAAACAGGTGTCAAATGATCCTTGGCAGCTCATTGTTCAAAGCATTGCACTTTGAATATCAGAGAAGGGATTCTGAAGCAAGGCAGATTGAAACTCCCTTGAGAGATTTCCTTCCAACTGGACTCCTAAACTCATGGTCAGGGCTCATGTTGCACACAGCAAGTGCTAACCCTATAAACTTGTGGGTGAGCACCTCATATTATCCTTACTAAGTGCCCTAAACTTGCCTTAACTTGATCGTAGGTGTGTGTATGGCTTAGTCTTTTGGGCCCATAAGCCCAGTATGAACAAGTTAAAATGGTGACTGGCAAATTGTCTTACCTGCAGTAGTCTTCTTACAGAACAGGTGATTTTTCATATCATAATTAGTTTCATTTGGACGATATCCATATCCTAAGTAGAGTATCAGTGGAACATCTTGTTCAGACTCCAGGTGGATCACGATAGATGTGTTTTCTGAAGTGACATTGACTTGGAAAACACTAAAATTGCCTAAGGTCAAAAAAATCCTGTCTTCCTGACTTGCTGAAAGCCTTGGTAGTATAATCTGTTTTCAAACAGAAAGGTATAGCTTTGAATACAGCAAAGTACCTTGTTTCTGTTATCTACAAGCACAAATCAGCCACATGGCAAAGAATCTTTTTGGTTGTTTATTTGTATATCCCACAACATAGGGAAAGCACAGCCAGCAACACTGGCTACTTGCCTAGGCCTCTCTAATGCGTTTAGAGAATAATAACGAAACCCAAGATAACAAAAATGACAGTTTATAAACAAAAAATTATACAGGAAAGAGAGGGAAAGGGATAGAAAGTTTAGGGTTTACCTCAATGTTTTCTTTGAGATTGCTGACTGGTATGATCAAACCATCCAAACCGGTAAGACTTAAACCTCCCACTGTTCCGCTGACATCAAAACTGGTGTCACTGGAGAAAAAGGGGTTCGCTGCAAAGCTCACCATCTACTAGCAAGATATTAGCAATCAGTGGCAAGTGGATTTAAAGTTACTGATTCCATCTCTTTCTCTAGCCATGCAAGTATGAACGCGGCATGTATGTGAAGGGTTAAAGCATGAGGAATTTAGGCCATAAGTCTCCATCAGCTTGTTAAAACAACCTCATGTAATTAAGAAAGGTGAAGACTTTGGTGACAAAAAAAAAAAATCAAATGACATTCAAACCACCTTAATCTTTCTTAAGGTGGCAACCCTAAGGCAACCACATTGAAATGGAGGGCTGACTTGTGTGGTTGTGTATTCATGAAGGGATTCTAAAACCACTGGATTAAGAAAGTAAATTGCAGCTCAGATAAAATCAGGTAACCACTGTTCACTTGCCCTTATATCCACTGTTTCATCATCAAGTCCTGAAACACTGAGGGAAGAAGCAGGTGGGAGAGTAAAGCTGGCAGAGCTGGAATTGGAGACATTAATGGATGTCCTGTCCATGCTTTCTGTTTGTAATCTGTCCACAGTTACAGTTAGATACAAGCAAAACAAAGACAGGGAAGAAAAGCATTAGTAATATAGACTTTATATTTAGAGAAAATGCTTCCCCACTTCATAAGTATAACGTGTCTAATAAATTATTTCTAGTTCTGTCGGTAAATGCTTAATATATTATCTGTCCCTGATGTAGTACTCCATAAAATACCTGCACATAATCATCGAAAAAGAGGCAGAGTTGGCATATCTGGATTTTAAATCTTACCCACTTAGGTGTATTTATGTGAAAGGAGTCCCTAGTCTCTATGAACGAGCTCTTGATTTTTATGTGCAGTTGAATGTAGATGAGAGTCAAGTTCTAGGTGAACAGCTTAGGGATGATGAGAGGATAATGCTTGTCAGGCTGCTCACAGCTGTGTTTGTTCCTGCCAGGCTGGTTGCAAATTTATATAACATGTCAGTAATGACAACTTGTAAAAGGAAGAAAAACCTTTACTGGCATAACATGAGATTTCATACTTTCACAGGTAAGTGGCCACTGTCTCATGCAAGAATAGTAATAAGTTCTTCTCTGGTCAGATATGACACAAGATGGCAGGAGAATTTCTAAGACAGCTTTACTGAAGTTAATTGGAGTCAAGGCTGTTTTTACAGTCAATAATTACAGCTTCATTGTACTACTGAAATGTCATTATGCTACAGTCTTTGTGTGGCTCCATTTAATGACAATATAAGGAATATTTGGGGAACATCCAAGCAATTTAGGCATAAGGTCATCACTGAACCAGAATTACTAGTACCTGTTTATATACATTGTGGCAGTAGGAGTGGTAAGGACCATTGGTTCATCATCTGGTTCTTTCCCAAACAGAAGGGCACTCTGTAGATTTTCAACTGTATTCAAGAGCTGGGATGACACTGAGCTCTGGAAAAGGATTACAGGAGGAAACTTGTAACAAAGCTCCCTAGAATCAGCCAGTTGCACATTATTTGCTTTAACCTTGTGTGTATGAGTAGTGCAACCAATAATGAACATTCAGTAACTGTGGCAGCCTTGAACTGTGAGGGTAGAATCACATCTGGAAAAAATCTTACCACAGTCAGTCAGCTTGTTATCCATTAGATGCCGTAAGCTGATCTTTTGTTCACCAGTGCTCTGGCCTGTTCAGCTTTAAATGCATAAAATCCAAAGAAGTTTCTTGCATTTGCAGCAGCAGGCCGCTCAGTTTAACTGGGGAGAAGTTTACTTTGATACTCAGTTTAACTCCACCATGATGTTGCAATAAACCTTACCCAATGTCAATTTAAAAGGACAAGAGGCAGCAGAACTCTTAAAAGCCCTTTGAAGCATGGAAAAGGTTCATACGCAGTCCACTAGGACCTGAAGCAAACCAGATTACCTGTTCTGCCTCGGGCACTGAGGTATTCACATCTCTGTTTTGTATGGAAGCTTTAAGCACATTGCTAACTGCATTAAATAGGTAGTTGGCTGCGTCCTTTCTCTTCTGATCATCTCTGCTGTCCTCCGTGTTTACAGTAAGCAAGGAAGCACTGACATCTTTTAGGGTGTTGCTGGCTTCTACCTGCATGGGAAGTAAGCCATAAAGTTTGTGTGTATTGGTGCTACAAATGACAGAAGCGACATATGATCTCATTAAGGCTCCTACTGAATATTACATCGGAAGTAATGTGGTGGGACAATTTGTGGTTAAAGCTGTTTTAATTATAGTCATTTGTGCTTCTCAAACACCAATAAAGATGAGGATGAAGATGGCATACTAGCATGGAGTATAGACCTGAAAAGTCCAGCCCGCCTCTGCAGATGTGTTTGGTAGAGAACAACAACATCTGAAGGATGCTTATCTATAAAACACTGGGCCAAGATACAGTTTACATGTTACAGTAATGTAATAAATTAGGTTATTTTGTGTGGTGCTGAAGTTTTGGTCAAAAAAAACCAACTGTATTGTCAAATGTCTTATTGTTCACAAAGTGTATTAGTCAACCAGCAAGGAATACCTTTGGCCTTGTGCTGTGGTAAATGCCAAAGAAAGATGAACATATGATTTTTCTTTTGTGCCCAAATTGATTACTTTGTAATTGTGAACTGTTCTGGTCATCACACATGCTGGTGTGGTTTTAAAGCTGAGTAAAGAACAGTTAGGTGTAAGGCACTGACACTCTTCCAAGGTCAGGGAGATGGAGTAGAGTCTGTACTATTTGTGGAAGAAAATCTGAGATTAATTTCTTCATACCTGTGCTGAGATAGAGAGCTCTTCACTCTTGTATGTGATTTCTTGCAAAACTTCTGACATCTGAAGAGCAGTTTGCACTGATGTTATGTTAACAGCAGACAGCGTTGTCAGCATCAACCCTCGGAGCTTGGAACCAAAATGGATAATTCGGCAAAGGAAAAAGATGCTAATTAAGATCATGTAAATAGTGCAACACGTTGAAAGCCTAGTTTGCTGTAAATTATGAGATAGCCTAAGACTTCAGAGTCCTTGGTTCCCTGCTCCGACTTTACCCTCACCCATGTAGTACAAATGACAGTTATAATAACTGAATGTAAAATCATGACACTCTAGCACTTGACTCAATTTTATGCGTTGAATTCCAGAAGAGATGCTCTCATAGCTGAAAGATCTCAAGTAGCGATGGGCAGATATTTCATGATTTTTATGCATCTCTAGCTGTACCAAAGACTTTTTATAATCTATCAGTACAAATGCAATAAAGCTAGTGGCCATGGGATAAGATAATGTAATAACAATTGAGAAAGAAATCTTTTACAGATGGACGGTAAAGAAAATCATTTGCTTGGGCAAGTAGTGAAAAATAGCTGAAACCTGTGCCAAACACTGAGACAGAGAGCAGAAACCTGAAACCCCTATTCATGTCTGAAAGTTATATAGGAGCTTGTCATTAGTCAAGCGTTGCTAAAGAATGTGAGAAGTACATTGTATTACACTCTGCTGCAAGAAATCAAGTGTCTGGCTGACCTCTTTTCGTGTGTCGGTCTGTAAGGATGCGTTAAGACTTTCCTCTTGGGTCTCCTGATTAAGAACTGAGGTCACTGACTTATACAGCTGGAACAGACTCGTGCTGCTGTTCCCCTCTTTGAGAATGGTGTTGGCCTTCTCAGATACGATGGTCTGCAGGGTGAGGTTCCCCTTGGTCATATCTGTGTGTCCCACCTGATGAAGAAAATAGATATGCCCCTAGCATTGGCAAGGATGTTATGATCACTTTTGCACAGCTTCCAAGATATTGATATCCTAGCTGGAGCTGCACAGAAAACTCATTTGTGTTGCCCAGATTTTTGTGGTTTATTTTCAGTTAAATTTGGTTTTAGACTGATGTTTGTCTTCTTAGATAAAATGAGCCGGCTTTAGAAATACCCAATATAGGAAAATAGCTCAATTCCAACTCCATTTATAAAAAAATCCCGACCACCTGTCTTTTTAAGATGAGTCTGATTTCATCTACTTGACTGACAAATTTGTGCAAGTGAAGAAACAAAGTCTAATTCAACCCTGCATTTTCCAAACCTCACTTTATGGGCTGTCGTTAAAACCAGCACAGTGATGAGCAGCACCTCTAAGCGTGAAGCAGAAATGCATGTATTTTTAGTGGCTAATAAGGGTCTCATTACTGGGAAACTGGGAGAGAGGCTTGGAGTTTCTCTCAGCCTACAGAGAGTAACTCCAGACTTATTAAGTATAGCTTATACTGCCCAGTGTCCAGAGAGATCATATTTTTAAATATTATTTCTTCTTAGACAGGAAGAATGGTAATTATGACACGACCACAGGGAAATAGTAAGTATACCCTGGGAAGCTCCAAAAGTGAATAGCGGTTTAGATATCAACTTGTGGCACCTTGAAAGCAAGCAATTTTACTACATACCTTCACAGAAGCATTAGTTTGAACTGTATCCCCAAAGTTGTTGCTCACAGTAATTGTTATATGTAAAATGAAATTATTTTCCTCTTCTCCAAGTGGAAGGTAAACTGGGAAGAGTTCAGGATCGGGGCCACAGTGCAAGAGAGAATCTGGAATAAGAAAGATGGGATTACCTATCAGGCAGATGGAGCTACGTGTTCTCTGAAAGCACATTTGATCTGGGCAGCAAGTTAATTTATTACTACTAATTACTTACTATTACTATTAATCCTAATTAATTGACTCTTTTTTAGGCTCTCTGAGGAGTGAAAGCAGGCTGTACCTTTGCTCCTGCTAGCGACCATAGCAGTGCTTGCTAGGAACATGGAGAAGCCCGTGGTGGAACAGCTCACGTCAGGACTTACTTGGTTTCAGATAGAAGCAGTACGTGAGCTGCCTGCTGCGGCTAGGCTCGCACGGATCCTCTAGGCAGGCACTGCAGGAGACCGTGAACGTGGTGAGCACGGATCCCTCCCAGGGAGACACAGCGCAGGCCGGCGTGGAGGGCGCGGGCACCGAGCTCATGAGGTACCGTGCCTCGCCGTATCCATGTGGAGCCATTGCTGGGAAGCAGGGAGCAGAAAGCCAGCGATAACCATCGGCAGCACTGGCCTTCACACATTAGTGTTACCTATTCTAGCAATGATGCTGGTCGTTTGGGCACTAGAGACATCAGCGTGGGCCTAATCAGAAATGAAATCCCACGCTAAAAATGTCATAGCAGGAAAAGAACTACTAGAAAACATGGAAGTGTTAACCTTATGAAGTAAAGCTGTGTTATTCAATGAGGTATGTAGTGGGACATCGTTTCCAAATGAGCCTTAGGAAAATTAATTTATCTTACTGCACTATGGCCCACAACAAACTCTGAATTATTTTAAAGAACCCCACATGTAACATAACAGTGCTCAACTTGCAGAATAATTTAACTTGTTTAGCCTCTGTGTAATGCACTGTGTGATGGCAGAAACTCTAGCTCCAGTCAGTCTGAAGCTTCCCTACCTGTTACTTTAATCTGGAAAGCTTCTTCCTGTGTCTGCAAGAAGGAGCTGTTCATGGTCAGCCTGGATGTGTTGCTCTGAAGCAGATTCAGAGAGCTCTGCCGAAACCCAGTCAGGCTGCAGGCTGGAGGGAGGGGTGTGGGCTAGAAAATCCGATAGAAAATTGGCATTAGAGGCTGCTTGCTGTGATTTCTGCTGTGATCTCAGGTTAGACATTTCACCAAAACTGCAAGCTAGAAGGTGAACAAGTTTCCACTCAGCATTGCCAGGGCCTCACTGCGGCTCTGTAGTTAGACAAAACTGTCCTGTGAGGATGAACAGAATATCGATGACATATCAGTTGTTTGTGCAGTATTTCTGACAAAGCCAATGCTCTTACCTTGGTTTGGAAAGTGTTATCTAAATACCAGTTATAATATACTGCCTGCGACTCCTTCAGCCCAGAGACACTCAAAACAACTTCCTTGCTAGCATTTACTGGCTTGCAATTTGCTTCACACCTGTCAGGAGGTAAGACAGCAGTTAGGAGTAGTAACTGTACAAAATGCCGTGGTACATGTTACAGATTGTTTTATTCTCATTTGATGAAAATCTGCATAAGCCCTGGCATATGAGACAAATGTGACTCATAACTTTTTGAAAAATATTCAGATTAAAACCAGGAAATTTGGGAACCTTTGTCCCATTTGCCACAGTGACTGAGACCCACAACTAGCAAACTCTTTGTATTCCAAAATAGATTCAGGCTCTCAGCTGAAACATATTATAATTTGAGTTCATGGCATTGAAATGCCATGAGGCACTAAACACTCAAATTACCCAGATACAGTAAGAAGTATCTGGGTGTCCAGTAGGACTATCAGACATATCTTAGGGTTTTTATTCCCATCATTTCAATTATGTTTGCATCCGAAACTCTCTAGCACCGAAAGGACGGAAAAAAATAACTAATTAGCAAGAAACCAGACTTCAAGACAGAGCAAGTCTTAATTATTATTAATGCTAACGGAAACCCTACACTAGGATTTCTTCGTAAAAATACTAAATAATGAATATTATGTTTTAAAATCAGACCTGATTTCTAGTTGCAGTTCTTGTTTTGCAGTTACGTACAGACATTGCTCGTCTTGCCTCTCTTCACTGCCATGGTTTCGCACCGTGACCCTCACAGTCACTGCCGACTTTGGGGGAGGAAGGCAGCGTGCTGGGATGTGCACCTCACTTCGGTTGACCAGGATTGTCTCCTGCTGCACACATTCATTCCACGCAGGCCAGCAAGCTCCTGTGCAAACATTTCCTTTATAATTAGAGTGTTCATAGCATTCTGTGACTCTTGGGTAGGTGTTGCTGACACCACTTTCCAAGAGCTTTACAGAGCAAACAGTTTTCTTTAACCCAATTTGCAGAGAGGGTAACCAGAGCTCAAACTGACTACTTCAAAGTAACCTATGAGGTCAGGAACAAAGATAGGGACAGAATACAGATGCTCTGAATCCCAATCCGGTTCTCAGCTACACATGTTTTGTTTTATGTTTGATGCTAATTATTGCACTTTTATTGAGGCACATGTTCCTTGCAAACGCCTAGCTATTTAAACCGCTTGGAATTAGCGCTTGGCAGTGAGGGTGAGGCCTTAGGACAGGCAGATCTGGGAAGACTGAAAACCAGTAGCAACCACCTTTGGAACAAGAGAAAACTGTGAACTGCCGTGTTATATGTATGCCATATATATTTTTATATATACACATGTATACACTGTATGCCACATATATATTACATACCATAAATAGTTGATCATTAAACCAGGGTGAGGTAGAGTGACATTATTTCCTTACAGTGCCTGGGAAACTTTTTAAATTCCAGGCAGAGACTAAACCATCCTTTACTCAGATTTTAACCACTTGATCTGACAGGACAATGAGTTTGTTGCTCAGCAAGCAGATGGTAGAAAAGTTTCAGGAAATGCACATACCACAGGACCAGAGGAAACTAGAATTATCACTGTTGCCAGGCCAGCCGAGTGTAACAGTTGTGAAAGGATCCACATGACGACTTGGTTTAATATACATTTTGTTTTTTCTTTTGTGATCCTAAATGATAAGTAAATATTCCAGTTAAGACAGCAGCATGCATAAATACATACAGATCTTGCTTCTTTGTAATGGAGAAAGGCAGTGTGTGCAGAGCTGTATGCAGCTGAAATGATCTTTCCTGGACCAGAGGCAATATGGGAGCTATGGGAATAGATGCAGATGGCACAGACAAATCACATATGGCAAAATATTCCCAAACTCTGAGTGGCTTAGCAGCCCAACTTTCATTTTCCAAACTAATGCAGGTATTTAGAAGCCTAATTCCCACTGATTTTACATTTTTGGACCAAGACATTGAGCCTATGAAAAATCATTTTTCTTCTATTTTTTTTTTTCAGAATTGAACGCATTACAGCTGTAGAAAAAAAAAAGCAAAGAATAAGGTAACTGATTTTATCATTCTGTACAACCAATTGTGATAACTCAGTTCTGAATTGGGCTGATATTAGGCCTCTGATGTAATGCAGTCTCACAGCCAGACTGTAAATCATGACATCTGCTTGTGAAGTAGGACTTCTCCTGTAGCAGACATCTGTCTGCTATAGTTATAGTTAAAAACTAGACCTTCAAGATGATAACAAAACATTGCATTTGGCAATTCAATGATTTAGTTAAATCTGGCAGGTCTATACACAGAAAATATAGTCCGTATTGCAGTATGTTACAAATACTTCTTACAAATATTTAATGCAATGCTTCTACCACCAAAAAGTAATTCTCAACATTTAGAATTTAAAGTAAAAATATTAAATAATACTTGCGTTTGTCTTCTGGGTATTTGTTCTGGAACTACCTTTAACATTAGCAGAATCTGTTTAACATAAAAAAATCAGAATGAATTAGAGCTACCCATGGGATTGTTGTACAAAGGAAAACTGAGGGAATCACTGGAAATATCTCAATTGGATTAATACCAGATTCACTTTATTTGTGTTATAATCTGCTGTCGTAAATGTAAGGGCGAGCCATCTAGAGGCATTTAATGACAACAATTTATGTGATTATTGTTATGCAGATATTTCATGATCTCATAGTTATGTTCCAGGCCACAAACTTCACTAATTATTTCTAGGACAAATAGCAACGATGCAGTATGTAACATACATAGTGTGATGCTGATTTATGACCACTTCAAAGCCAGTAAAGATACCTTCCTTAGAAATAAGCCTCCACAAAAGTTTTAAGTGCTGCTGCTGGAAAGAAAGCAATTACTAGATGCAAACCATGAACAGCAAATACTCCATTAAATGCTCTGATTGCAGAACACCGTGTATGTGATCACAAATGACACTGACAGAATAATGCAATTACCTTCTTCAAGGGAACTGTTTGCCAGCACGTAGATGAGTCCAATATCCACACTCATGTTGGAGAAGGCATTCATGGCCACCACTTTTACTAGGAAAGTACCTAGAGAGGATGCAGAGTCAATTAGGAATAACAGTGCACCAGTCCTTTCTGTTTGGGACCTAAAATCCAATTCAAAATGAAAACACTGATTCGGGAAGATGTGTTAGTGTGTACATGAGTTAGGGATGGGGCCATTAAAGCTGAATTCTGCTCACTATATCTTTTTTATTGCAAAATTCAGGAGAAGACTTCTTTTTGGTCCCTTTATTAAGAACAATTTGCTCTTTTAATTCTTTTAGATTGGATTCTTTTAGATAAGTCAATAAGACTGTTTTATCCAGACTCTCCTGCAGACCCAGTTTGAGCAGCTAAAACAGTTAACAAATCCCTGCTATAAGTTCTTGTCCCCCCACTCCCAGGGATGCTGTGAGGAGGTGCGTGGGCTCCTCTGCACAGCAGTGTGTCTGTGAGCGCATGCTGTACCTTCAGAGTACACAGGGATGCGGTATGTTCGAGGCTCTCCGTGAGGGCAGTCTTCCTCGTGGGAGTTTGTTTCATTGGATCCCACAACCTCAAACTTCACTTTGTCTGGGGCTCCATGCGACACAGAGACATTTATCTCTAAATTCTCCCCCAGCTCCACAGTGTGAGAAGCTAAAGTAGCCTGAAGACCAGATACTGGCTCAACGAAGTGAACAGCAATGCTCTTTGAGAGCTCAGATGTGGATTTGTTCCTGGATGCCCGGATTTCCAGCTGGTGTATCCCAGGGCCTAGTAGCTCTTGCAAGGTACTGTTGAGTGTCAGATTGTGAGGGACAATTCCTTCTTTTGCACTGGATTCGGTGACTGTCTTGTTATCTGCTAATATGATGTAGGTCACTTCATTACCTGCAAAAAGACAATTCAAGATTTCTCACAGCTTGCCTAACAGGCCAGCCAACTCTAGCTGTCTTGTGCAACACTAAGATATTTATAAAGAGGTCAAAAGAATACTGCTGCAATGCAATCACTTGGACTAGATTTGCTTTGTCTGATTTGTGCCCCTCTGAAAGTCTAGCACATTTATTTCCTGCTGGAGATCTTAAGGCAGTCAAGAGAATTCAAACATATGCTTCTGAATTTTACTTTTTAAGCATGTATGTGGATTCCAGAAGTGAGAACTACACATGTATCAGCAAATATGACCTGCCCAGTGTGGAATCATCTTGCCTTCATTCACTGAAGCATTTCAGCATATGCTTAGCTTTATATATGGAAATATTCCTACTTCATATATGGAAATATTCCTATTCCTCCTGGCTTCACGTGGATTTACATGAATGAAGTTATGCTCATGCTTTGTCAACTTTGTGCAAAGGGAAATGGGTTTATGTTCATGTATGAAGTGCTGTAGCAGCTCTGAGAAAGAATCTCTTCCAATAGGGCTCAGAGCATTCGGTTGCAGGAATGCAACAGCTAAGCAAAAGCATTTGCTGAAGAAGGTATTATTTATTGGTATTGTGTCAAAAATGTATAGTGTCATAAAAATCAGCTTCTTTTTATTTGTAGCATACTATTTATGTTATTAGTCTGCCACTTAAACATGCAGAATAATTAGCCTTACCTCCACTGAGTTCTACTTGAATCCATAACAACTCTCCATATAGAGTGCGGCAGTAAGAGCTGTTCCCAGATTCATACTGGCTATAGCACCCAGTAATGCTAAGTTGATCCTTCTTATCCTGAACAGTCACCCGTTTCTGAGCTGTCACGTGCCATTCACTGGTTGTACATTCCACAAAAACAATAAACTCTCCAGGAGATGAATATGTGTGTGTGACATTGCTGACCAGCCTAGGATACAAAGAGAACTTGTTGCAGAAGGCTGTCCTGAGAAGTCTGGAGCACTGTGTGATAAGAGTGGTCACAGTTCCCAAACCTCTGATCTGACTCAGCTGTAATGCAATCACTTTAATCCTTGTGTGTTTATGTAACATTTTTAGGGTTTTGATCCTTTGTTCCAGCTGTGGAGTCATTAAGGCTTTGTACCTGGGGTGGATATTCCAGAAGCCTCTCTGGAGATGAACATGTGTTGCTGTGAAGGAGATGGATTACAGTTCAACATCAGACTCCATCAGACCTGGTTTGTGTCTTGTTGGCTCTGAACACAGATACTGGACTGTGGATGCTACCCCATGTAAAAGTGCCCTTAGTTTCTATCTTCCTTGTTTTATTCCCTGATTTACCTTCTGTTAGACATCAGTGGGAGCTGAGGCTCTTCAGCATGTTGACAGACTGCTCTCTTGCTATTTCATTTTCACGTGCAACTGCTTCTATACTTGTTCATGCTAACAAAAAGGTATGTGCTCTGCTGGGTCTGTTGCAGCCCCAGTACTGGTGGCAATAGGAGGTGATAAGGAAAAGGTGATAAGGAAAAAGCCTGCTGTAGCTGCCAGGATTACTAACAAGCATGGGGAGATGCTAAACAGAATCTAAAGATATTCTTCTTGAATGGGGTACACCATGAAAGGCAAATAAATATGTAACATTCCTGATATTACCATTTCTGAACCATTTATATTCTTATCATAGTGCAACCTAACAAATGCAAACTAAGATCAGGACTTACCGTTCTTGATCATACATATTTTTCGCTAGCTGTTTTAACAAGGGAAAATATTTAGATCAAACTGAACTTCAAAACCTTTTCAGTGTCAAGACAACACCAGAAAAGGCAATCCCTGTAAAACTGGGCATCAAACTGGATAGAGAAAACAGGTAAACATGACTGGTAGCCTTTTAGGAGGTGAAATAAAACCATAAAAACAAGACTCTGCTTGCAGCTGTAGGCCTGTGTCTGTAGTTCTCAAAGAATGTAACACCCATAATAATATAATTCCATTATATTATTTTAAATGTTATCAAATATAAAAGTACTTTTTAAATGGGGAAAAAGTAATGCTTGCCCATTTCTTTGTCAATTACTAGAAGCTTTCCAGTAATTTTGTGCCTTCAAGATCTATATTAAATTACACTAGCAGGAAATAGGAATCACTTGTTACAGTAAGAAGAGGAAAGTGTGTGGTTGGCAGCTTGATATAAAATTGTATATGAATTTCACAGTGTCTTGCTGCAAAATCCAGCCTTCTCATATCTATTCTTAATCTAGTTAATTTTTAACATCTCATTTAAGAGACTTGAAGCATTCAAAGAAATGCAGGCAGTGAAATTTACTCATTGTCTGATGATAGATAAAAGATGTATCTTACATTGGAGGGTAATAGGGATCAATACTGTGTCCATCTCCAGTGCTAATGATGCATGAGAGGTTGCCAGAGTATGGAGAGAGCATCCAGGTCAGAGTGACTGTGATGTCCTCAGAGGCAAAGCTCGCTTCTGTTACAGCCAGCTGCAGACCTGCAAAACGTGATGCCACGGTTCAGGGTTGTTGTTTGTCTACATTTCTTGCATAATTAAATTAATTTCCTTATAGTGTTGGGAGCTGGTTTTCTCCAAAACGGAGCTCATACTGCTGCCAATTTAAATGCTTTAGTGACAATTCTTCTCCGTAAGTGCTGGTCAGGATTCTCATTGGAACATAATTTCAGTCAAGTGTGTTCATTTGTCTGAATCTGCTGGCTTTGTAGCCTTATCAAAAACCCTGTAGAACTGTCACTAAGGTCTGTGAAACTGTACTTCCATGTCTTGAATAGTTTTAGTGGTCACTTTCTCCAGAGGACCAATCTTCCAACTTCTTTTTTGAAGACAGACCAGCTATTTTTAACATAATTGGCAATGGACACAGTGTTACATATAGAGCAACGTATAGAGCAGGTTTGTGTGTTGACAACCCCCAGCACTTACCTTCCTTGCAGTAGTACTGAATAGACAAATAGCTTCCCGAAGCTGGACAAGGATCACCAAAGAAAGAGCCATCCGCTGCCACCTGGCAGGCCTGGAGACCATGACACTGTCCTGGAAAGGAGGACCAGCTTAGATCATAGAATTATAGAATCACAGAATCTGTGCATTCTATGATTCTATGATTCTGTGAAGCTCTTTGCAACCCCCTCCACTGAAACAAACCAAGATAAAATATTTTAGAGAGCAGGAACTTTAGGGTGCTTATTCTGTGCCTCTGCCAAGCAATGCAACAAGCTCTTACCTGCTACTTCATCTTTGACACTGATCCAGCTACAGTCTTTGTCCATATCATACTGGAGAGGCGTCTCCAACACACAGTAGTGAGGGGTCTTCCGCCCATAGAAACTCTCTCCAATTTCAATAACTTCTCCTGATCCACACTGTACAGTGGCATTGTAGTTATTACAAGCAATGCTCTGGCCAGATTCTTATTGGGAAAAAAATAGATTTCATTAAAACAAGGATATAGAGCTGAGGCGTCTGCTCCTTCCACCTCCATTGTGAACAGATTAGTGTATAGCAGGGTAGCTGATCTTAGCCTCATAATTATGGTCATATCTCTAAATGCATATACTTCATTCTTTGATTAATCTGGGACAGATGATTATCTTTCAGAATTTGTAGCATTCTGGAGTCATTAGGATATTTAATACTCTGAAGAGGAGGATGCAAAAAACATTTGCAAACCGGGGGTTGTAGAAGAATAGTTTTGTTTCAGCAGTCCCAGGTTTAAATATATTGTTCACCAATTGCTCTTTTGATTATTCTCCTTAAATACCTCCACTTACAGTGCCAGTGTGTGCACACTGCAGTAATTGTGTGCTATTGTTATTTAAAGGCTAAATCTAAGCTGGCTGTAACTATAGCAACATGATCAGTTTACAGATTAGAGTTCTCTAAATAAGCTTGGAAAATAATTTGTTGTTAAATTCTAATACAGGCTATTATCTCTTGCTTTCTTTTTTTTTTTTTTTTCAGTTCTTTACTTTGTGTAGAGGTTTCCTATAGCATCTGCTCTCTCAGCAACTTTAACATACAAAAATGTACAAAACGTGATTTATATTCCCATATGCAAACCCAAGGTGTATTTTTCCAACAAAAGTGCTAACCTAAAGAGCACCAAAGGTCCAACCATACAGAGGAGCAGAAATAATATGGAACAGTGAGCTGAGGAGTGAGAAAATCTTACTTGAGGAGAGAAACAACAATGGAGAGCCAAAGAAAGGATGAGAGCAAAACACTTTCTTTGTGGTCTGAGCACATACACATACTGCAGATGATCGAGTAAACAAGGTTAGCAGTAATCAGAGTGGGATTCAGTTCAAATAGTAATACTGTTTGGGCTTGAACAAATTGCAAGTTTGCAATTCAGACTCAAACCAAGAGCCACAGTAGCTGTGCATGAAGGTATTAAGCCACACATGCAAACCGATAGAATAAAGGGGATCTACTCTAGCACTGAAATATGTGTATGTGTTAGTGGACATGGGCTGTAGATATTGAAAACAAGGCTTTAATTTTCTTCATTTGTTCTCAAATTCCCAGGTAATGGAATGATGGATGTATTAGGGGATGTTGTTGCTCATTAATGCAAAATCTCGTTTAATTTAATAGACTTTCAGTCAGATCCTATGCTAACAGATGGTAGCTTCCTTAAACAGTTGTCTGGTGTGGTTGCAATGGAAAAATGATTTTAGTCGGGCTTTGTAAGGAAAATAAGCTTAAATGATGGTGCTGTCTGCCAATTTCTTCTCCCAAGAGTATTTCTAATCTGTTAGTCACCTTCAGTCAGACTTCATGTATGGATATAGACCTCCAAACACCCTGAAAGAGTAATGAAACATAATAGTTGGGTAGAAGAGAGAGAGATACTTTAATTTCTCTGTAAGGAGGAGGGATAGTAGGGGTTGCCCCTTTTTTTTCTGTTTCGTGATATAGGATTCAAGTGGCCAACATGCCCCGCTTTTGCTCTGAACCAGCTGCAGAACTGCAGGGGAGGGAGCTGGCAAGGGAAGGTATTTGGAGAGGCAGGAAGTCCTTGGGATACGGGAGTGAACAGGGAGTTATAAAAGGAGGGTAGGGAGGGATGGGGAATGGAAAATCAGGACAGGAAACAAAACCTGATTGGTTCTGCTGGTTATGGAACAACCTGCTGGTTATGTCAGAAGTGATACAGCACTGGACCAGGGCAGTGCTAGAGCCCGTGGTAACCTGTACTTGCATCCTGGATTCAAGGACTATTTGTATTAGTGAATCTACAGCCAGACTTGCCTTCAAATACTTGTGACCTTAATTCTAGTTACAGATTAAAATGCTTTGCTTACGTGCTAAGTGTGAGGAACACAAATTCCCCTCACATCTGTGTGTTGAATGGGATGATACTGCCAGCATTCCTTTCCAGGACTGCTTGTTCCAAGCCAGGATTTAAGGGACCTATGTTATAACACTGGAACACAATGTCTGTACTTATTCTGCCTAGCTGCTAAAATGCCATCAGGAAATGCAGGTTCATGTCTGCTTCTTGTCCCAGGGAAACCCTCAAACTTCATCTAATGGAAGAGCCTGAGAAGAAACCAGAAATCTCTGGTTATTCCAGGTTACTATGACAGAAGTCTCTGGAAGCCTGTCTGTGTTTTTGCTTCTGTTATAAGTAAAAAAATATTTTGAGGAGCTCAGCCTGTATTTGTGATTGAGGATAACTTTACAGGGCTGACATATAGTCCTATCTAGCCCAGGTACAAGTGCGTTGTGGCAGATTGTTCTTGCAGCTATGCAGTTATGCACTGTTCAAAGTGGCTTTAAACTGCCTAGGTTATGTGTGTCTACTGCTCCAGATTTGGATTCACCCTCATATCCTATTGCCCAGCTCCCAGTAATTTCAAGGTTCTTCCTTTCTTTGAATCTGATCTTATCTCAACAAATTAGAATAGTAACACCTGCTGGGGTATTACAGATTTTTGCTTGTTCACTTTTAATAAACTTTATTGCAGTTACCTCACAGCCACTTTGAAAGAAACAGTTTATGCACAGTTGTGAACATTGTATGTTCACTTCTCTGTTCCAAATGTTGTGTATCTTACCAAATTCGCAAATGAAGCCAAATTCCTGGCTGCAATTTTCAGTCATACCCCACTGATGCTTGGCATTCTTCAGGATGTACCCACATGTGGATGAAAAGGGAGATGGTTGATCCACATACCAGTTACTGTAGCTTATATTTGAAGTGTCCAGCCAGATCACTGACCCTGTGAACAAAGTAGATCGTGTCCTGAATGTTTATTTTCAGTAGTAACACAGTTAAAGAGTCAGAACTTGCAGAGCAGGCTTTGACTGCACCTGTGTAGTAGTAGTTCATCTGAATAAAGAAACATGTTAATTTAATTTTACATTTATTCTGATAAAACCATTAACTCAGACATTGCCACTAACTCAGATGATGCAAATTTTCACTATGCTCCCAACCTCAAGAATCTACCATTTCCCTTGCAGCAGACCTTACAACTTGAGAGAGTGAGGAATTGGCTCGGCTTGCTCATCAACATTAGAATTAATCTTGCATATTTTTTCCCCATGTTTTAGCAAGCTGATCTAATTCATCATTTGCTCATACAATCCCATGACGAGTGGAAAGAGTGACAGCATGGAACAGGAAAATGAAACAGTCATGTGAAACATCTTAATATAAAGCTGAAGTTATAGTGACACAACAATGGCATTTCAGCAGCTGTCTGTAGAGGGATTGATTCATTTTTTTGTCAGATTAAGCATCATGTACTGATACAGTACTGAATATCATTTCAAAATCACCTACCATCAGAAGTTTCATTCAGCAAGGAGTCTGAGATCAGTCCTATCCACCATTCCTGGTCCTCAGAGAGATGTTTCTGCAAGAAGTCTTGAGTTTCCTCATCTTCAATAAAGACAAGGTGCCCCCCTCCTCTCTCGCACCAGCTCTGGGCACTTGTGAAGGTGCGCTGGAGTCTAACAAACTCATAGCATGAATACTTGTAAGCTGTCTGGTACTTTGAGCAAGGGATTCCTTCCCCGACAGTTGCCTCCTCCACAGCCCAGCGTGCAGCAAGGGAAATCAGAATTGCAACCGCAAGCCACATTCTCAGCTCAGTGCCCTGTGTGGCACTGCTCTTCCCTATTGCTTCACTGCTCTTTTTGCTGCTCTTTTCAGGGGCTTGAGGTGTCATCCTTGTCATGTCATCAATATTTCTCCTTTCTCTTCGCTGCTTGCAACAATAGCAGCAACAGACCATGGAACAGATTGCTTCTAATATATAATAGTGATTGCGTCCGAGGACACACACACCAGGTGTTGATGCTAAGTCACTGAAAATAGCTATTGTGAGACCCATTGTATAAAGATTTCATTCAAAATAAGCCAGTTTGCAGAGAGGCCATTAGAATATTACTTTTCTCATGAGCAGAGAAGATAAAGTTGATATATGTCATGACTGCGCACATGGGAAGCGGAGATAAAGCTCACCCATCAAAGGAGTTATTGTGTGAACATTAAAGCCCGATGTCTTTACAACAACAGTGAAATATAATAGCAAGAAGGAGAGGAGAAATAGGAAAATGAGAATTCAGAAACACAAGGAATCATGAGATGGAGTACACGTAGTGGTCCTCTAGATTCTTTTAAGTGTTCTGGATTGCTTTATTCTTAATAATTATTATTGTTTTGATACAATTATCTGAGTTGCTTCTTTTGAATGCTATTGTAATGTCTGTAATTACTGTATCAAATTCATCCTACCCATGTGTTTATACATAACGAGGTTAATCTCTACCCTCCCAAGTAAGCTTCATTTTGAAGTGCTGTTTCTGTTTAGAATTCCACACCGCATGTAAAATGTTCCTGCTCCCTTTAAAGCTAAGCTGCTGAACTGTGTATAGCTGCATTATTTATACCTGCCAGGAGATAAAAGAGAAGGCTAAAAGTTAAAACGATCATTTAAAAAATATTCTGCCTTGATCATCAGAACTGCTTGGGAGCCCTATATGCACATTCCAATGGCTGCTGATGGACTTTGGGAAGCCAGCCCAGCAACATTTAGGAGCTGAAACCCTTAAATGCTTCTGAACTTCCTTGCAAAATACTCCATGAGGTTTACAAGGCCACTGGATCAGCAGAGACATGGTACAAATAAGAATCTTTAGCTGTTGTGATCTTCCTGTCCTTAGTGTAACTCCACTAATTTGATGTCATTATTATTAATTTATACCACCATAACCTGACACTGGAAGAGCATACATCTATATTTAGAGAAGGAGCAGAGTGGGCCGGCTGCAGCATCACAGAGCTGCAGGAAACAGGGATCTGTGGCTGAATTGCGTCAGTGCAGAAATGCCGACCGTACTGCTCTATTGACCTGATGTTAATGGACATCCTGCACCATACCCCTGCCTCTATTGCTTTATTCTAACGCCCTCAAGCTTTCTTGCAAAGTGAAGCCTGCCCACTGCTTCTAGTAACCATTTAGAAATAATCTTCAGTCTCCAAACCATTCTGGACTTCCAGTTCATGGTCATCTTGCTCAGGTGGATTAGGTAGGACAGTGCTCAGGGCTTTAGTAGGAAGGGCTAATAGAGCAGCTGAGATTCCAGGCTGGATTTCGCAGCTCTGGGGATTGCCACTCCATAGTCTGCCATGCTGATGAATCTGGCATGGGCAGTACCATTCCCTTCCTGGAACAGGCCCTGTGACTGTGATTATCAGCTGTATCTATTGAGAATATCCACAGATTGAAAGCCTCTTTTAGGCTACATCCAAAAACTTCATAGGTTTCAATTTGGCAACCCCCACCTCCCCCTAGACTCAACTGTCTTACACTCAAGCTATTACAAAACTTAAAGCTGAGAGCAGCTTTTGTTCAATTACTCGACCACTGTATATTGTCATGACATTTCCTTTAAAGTGCCTGCTTCTCCCTGGGCCTGGCTTTGGAGAAGCTGGCAGCCAGCCCTAACGTTTTGGCCTTACAGTTGTGAGAAGCATATCTTGTTTCTGAAAACAAAGGTATGAAGCAGACTGCACTTCAATGGATCTTATTAAGGGATAGGGAGCTATGGATTTCTGCTAAGTGACATTGACTCTTGCATTTGTGATAAATGATTCTGTAGCATCTTTCAGTTCTTTCTCTGCACTTGGGAATTTGACTACATGAGCATTCTGCCAAAACTGTCAGAGCTGGAGGTGCCACAGGCTATGCTTTATGGATCGTTTCCAAAGCCATTGAAATTAATGGAAGTCTTGTCTTTGAATTTGATGGATTCTGAAACAGGCCCCAAAAAAGAACAAGTAATGTTTGGAAATGTCTACAAATAAAGCCAAGATCTCCAAGTGAGTCCACTGTTAGCAATTTCCATAGCAGTGTGATTTTTTTCCTACGGTTGCTATAAGTAACTCTTCAATAGCAGATGGAGAATGGAAGAAAGATAGTTTCTCTCTTTTGCAGTTTGTTGACTTCATACATTTAGTGTCACTAAAGCTGTGAGTCATTTTATTCTACTATTTACCACAAGGAAGAGAAAAGCATTTACAAAAAGAAAAAGCTGCTTCAAAAGCATCAGCATCAGCAGCTAGGATCCTCAGGAAGTGAGAAAATTCCTGAAAGCCCTTTCAGTCATTATTTAAAAATGGCCTGATTTCAAATAAACAGTGCTTTTTGACTTTAACGTTTTGAAGGAAACACACTTTTTGCATTCTTCTTCAACAGAAACACTTTTGTACTTTAATAGCTTTCATATGCTAGAAGTCAACATGGAAATTTCACAGTACAATTTTCCCCTCCCTGGTTGCCTTTGTGCAGATTGTTGAGGTAATTGAGATAATATCAATAGTTTAAGAAGTTATTTAAACAGTTACATGTGCTAATGTGCAAGAGAGAAGCCTGTGCCCACTGCTGTATCACTGCAGCTTGTGTGCTTCCAGGGGGATCATGGAAGGGCTCAGGGAAGCCTTATCCTTCTCCAGGGGTCCCTGCAGGTGCAGAAGCTGCCCCGTCCCCATCCCTGTGGAAGTGCAACTATCCCCAGCAGGGACTTCAGGAAGCGTTGGGTGTCATGTCAGCTGTATGGGCTTGGATTCACAGAATCCATTCATTGCTGGGTTTTGTTTGCCTTTTGCAAAGTTCGCAGGGACTTGGACAGACTCACAAAAGAAAAGCCTGTAGATCGGCACCATTTTAAGAAATTGTGAACCTTTCACTTAGAGCCAAGATTTGTTAATCTTTGCTCAGTTTTAACTGCCTGACTGAAAGGCTGATGTAGCAACCACCCTTCCAGCACATATTATGTCCTGCTGACTTAAACTCAAACATCTTCACCAGCTAAAACGAGACTTGCAAAGCAATTGTGTTTTGCAAGCTTTGACTAGAAATGAGTGATAAAAGTTTCTTAATATTTTCACACCCCTACTCCAAGCTATGATAAAACTATGAATAACTCCTTTGTTTGTGAACTCATCTGTCAGAATAAGTGTTTCATTTTTCTCAGAAATGCTTTTAGGGGCCCTGCAGATCTCTTACAGAGTCCTAACTTGCCCTTATGAATTACACCGCATGGTGGCCATCAAGAGAAAGTTTCTTTGGAAAAGCACTGTGCTATATAAAACATCACAAAAGACAATGAGGAATTCCTCAAGGGATCCTTCTGCTTTCTGTTGGAAGTAGAGGCAGGTGAAGTGAAAGATAACTGAGTTATTTTATTAAAAGTTAATAAATGTTTAAAAAATGTTAAAAAATATGCCTAAAGATTTGTAGATCGGGGTGATGAGTACATGCCATGGTTATTTAACCCATATCGGTGCAGTAGACTTGCCTTGAAGCCTTTGAACATCAGCCTTTCATACTCCACATTAGACAACCAGCACTGAAAAATGGGAGCCTGAATTCTTGTCCAGCATAATCAACATCTTTAGCTAGAGCTCAGGTTACCCTGAATCTCACTGCAAATCTCTCCATGACCAACTGCTCCTATTAGGAGAAACCAGTTTGTAAGAGTTTGTTATTTCTGAACTTGAGTCTATCTGAGGAAAACAATTCCAAAATTTTTCTGGGCTTTTGGAGAGCTTGGAGCAAACGAGGAAGAGATGCCCTTTACCTTCACTGACTTCAGGGTGGTCCTGATTTATACCCTGATTTCACAGAATCACAGAATCACAGAATATTTAAGGTTGGAAGGGACCTCTACAGATCATCTAGTCCAACCTTCCTGCTCAAGCAGGCACACCTAGAGCATGTGGCACAGGGTGGCATCCAGGCGGGTTTTGAAGACCTCCAGAGTAGGAGACT